GGACGGACCGAATCCGTAAGGAACCCTACCGAGAATGTGGTCTTTCATATCGACGGGGTATGAAGACATATGTGTTTGACGCCCATACCGGACGGGGTATGGGGACGGCCCGTTTCACTCTTATACCGGACGGGGTATTGAGGTTTATGGTTTTGGCGCCCATACCGGACGGAGTATGGGGACGACCCATTTCACCCTCATACCAGACGGGGTATTGAGGTTCATGGTTTTGGCGCCCATACCGGACGGAGTATGGGGACGGGCCTGGAATCAGATTATTAATGTTAATGGTTCACGTGTAACGGGGACCCCCTATGGATTCCCACGAATACTAGTAGGCTGGTAAAAGAGGAAATTTGTTGTCTGATTATTGAAGTGCAAAAGTATAACATGTGTTATGTTACAAAGCGTATATGATTTTATGATGGTTATAATGTTATTGTTTCCATATGTTAATTTCACGAATCTCACCGAGGTAAGTGGATAGTAAATATTTTTATCAGTAATAAATGAGTTTGTTATAAATTATGATCAATTAGTCGTTTTTATTTTCTACAAATCTTTACTTCTGTGGCAGTGAGATAGTGTAATGTTTTTACTGGGTTAGTGTAGCTCATTCCTTACTTAACCATTTCATATCAGAAAGACGTGGTTCCCGAGCCCGTTCCGCAGGAAGACGGCGAGTTAGACGCCTAAAAATTTTATAGTTCTATTTATAGTTTTTATTTCGAGTATTTATTTTAATTAGCTTATTCTTTCATACGTTGAATACGTTTATGGTTATTGTGTAAGAGATGTTAATCAAAATTTTTATTTCACTTTCGCATTTAAAATTTTTAATACATACATCTTCATTTAAATTTTTGGGGCCATCTTTTTTATGGGTAACAAATTAATTACAATTAACTCACTTTATTTAATCTTTAATTATCTACTTTTCTTCTCCATCAATCATAAACCTTTAAAGTTAATACTTTAGTTAATTGTTGTTTAAGTACTCTATTTAATATTTATTCGTACGAAAGGAATTATTAGCCCACAACATCATTTCCCAACACACAGAATGTATTCTTTCTACCTCTATAATTAACCTTCCCGCAAAAAGCATATATGTGTTTGTACACACACACATTTATATATATACATATGTGTATATATATATATATATATATATATATATATATATATATAAAACTTGCAACCAAGATTAGGGTAAGAAGAGAGAAGAGAAAATGATAATGTTATCACATGTTTTATATTTTTTTATATAACCTCCTCTTTTACTTTCAAAGAACAAATACATAGTTCCCTAGTAAAACCCTTACCTGTATTTCCTTCCACCTATACATACACCTCTCTTTTCTCTCTCTCTCTCTCCCTCTCATGTTACCGTTGACTTTTTAAATCTTTAAACCCATTAAGTCTTCTTCACAGCCAATCCATGGCTGTCCAGCAAACCATTCTCCTCATTCCTCCAAAATGAACTCCACCTCCCCAGCTGACTCCGGCGGCTTTCTGGGTTCCAATTCCATCGGCGGATTCGGCTACGGCATCGGTGTTTCCGTTGGAATCCTCCTCCTCATTACAACCATCACCTTAGCTTCTTACTACTGCACCAGAACCCACCAGGAATCCAGCCATAGCTCGTCGTCGACGACTCAGCAGAGGGTCACGACGGACACCCAGATGGCCGGAGATTTCGTCATCGACGTCGGGCTAGATGAGGACACCATCAAGAGCTACCCGAAGGTGGTGTACGCCGAGGTGAAGTTACAGAAGGCGGATTCCACGGCGAGCTGCTGCTCGATTTGCTTGGCGGATTATAAGAGCAGCGACGTGCTGAGGTTATTGCCGGAGTGTAAGCATCTGTTTCACGTCAAGTGCGTTGACCCATGGTTGAGGATGCATCCAACTTGTCCTGTTTGCCGGACTTCGCCGATTCCGACGCCCGTGTCAACGCCTCTCGCCGAGGTGGTTCCCTTGGCGATTACCACCAGAAATTAGCACTGATCATGGCAAAACCAGGATTATACACACAAAGCTTTTTTTTTTTTTTAATACACGATGGCTTCTTTTTCTTTCCTGGGTCACTGTAAAATTCATTGCTTGTTTTTGGAATTCATAGATCAGGTTCCATTTTATATGATCATAGTGAAATTTGTTTTGCATTGTACATGATCTCTCATTCTTTCATTTCTGAATCTTGAATGTTCTTTCTTGTAATATCACAATATATATATATAGAGAGAGAGAGAGAGAGGGAGAGAGAGAGGATATGGCTTTGTGGAGAAGAGAGTCAGGAAGGATTAATCCGCCATTGATGGATAAAAGTAAAGCAGAGAAAGTTAATTAAAATCAGATTTGGTTTGTGTCTTGATTTGCAGTCATTATAAAGTGAACATGAAGATGGAGGATCTAACAGGATAGCTCCATTTCGATGTTTAACCATAATGATAATTTACATTAATTGAATAATTGTTTATTTATTTATCTTTAAAGTTTAATTAATTTTATTTTATTAATTATTACTTAGCTTAATATTTTATTTATTTATTTATTTTTTTGATAAAAATTTATAAATTTAAGTCAAATTATATTATTAATGTCGATACAATCCCAGCCCATTGTCATTTGGGCCGGGCCCATTTTCTTTATCATGGCTACAAATTTTATCTATTTTTTTAGAATGAAAATTTTAATTAAATTCAAAATAATATATATTTTTTATATTTTATTTGAAATTTTATATATTAGTGTTGTTTTTTGATAAAACTTTAACCTTCATATTAAAATTAAATATAATATTTAATATATTTTATAAAAATTTAAACTTACTCCAAACGTCACCTAACAACAAAAACCATAAGCTAAATGATAAATAAATTAATTAATTCACAAAAAAACCAAAATTAGTAATAATTCCATTTTTAAAAAGAAAAGGATAACGCCGTCAAAATACTTTAAAAATGGCGCCAACGCAGATGACAGCACCACCTAACGGCTCTCGCCGACTCCCCAAAACTACCAATCTAGTATATCTTATAACTAATCCGCCGCCCGTCAAATCAAGCGCTTAATAGAATCCCGACCGTTCGTCTCCTTATTCCTATTCGTTTAAACGGTTAAGATCACCTCCAGCGTTGTTGATTACCGCACAGAATCAAACTACAATTCAATCTCTTATCATTTCATTTCTTCAGAATCAAACTCTTTATCCGCGCCTCTCTTTGAAATCTCGTATAATTTCGCAGGATTGAAAACTCAAAAACCCTAATTTTGCTGGTGAGAAATTTGAGGTCATCTGAGAATCCATGGAGTACAAGTTCGCGGCGGTGTTCCTCGTCATTACGCTTTGTGGGATTGTACCTTTGACCTTCGCCACCGACGTCGAGTACTGCGGTCAGTTGCTTAAGCCTTTTGATTACTATTTTCTTGAATCAGATTCTTATACGACGATATTTCTGTTCTTGAATATTCAGGAATGAAAGTTCCTCTTCTTCTTTTCATGTTATATAAGAATTTTCCCGTCAAATTTCCCACTCAATTTGGGGTTGATTATAGTGCAGATAGGAAGGCTGATTACGGTGTCAGGGTTCAAGGGGTTGAAATATCACCAAACCCAGTAGCAAGAGGCAAGCAAGCCACCTTCAGCATCTCTGCAAATTCAGGTATGTATAAATCACTTTCACCTCTCTTTACCTCAATTTTTGGATTTAGCCGTATGTATACTCGGATAATTTATGGTACTTTGAAGCTAAATCAAATGAGAGCTTATTCACCTCGAAATGAAAGAATTTATGAGGAAAATATTTTAATCTTTATAACCTCAACCTTCACCAGCATCAACTAATTTGGTTATTTACTTCGGATTGTATGGATTTTTATGACTTGATCACAATGCTGTAAAGTTCAAGAAACCGATTGGGATTTTTTAGTGTGAAGTAGTTTAATTTTATTATAATTCAAATATTCTGTTTCTTTGTTGTGGCAATTCGGTTTTTTATTTGAATTTTTCTTCATTTTATATGACGTTATAGTTTTTGTTTAGTTTTTCTTTTAAATTTGATTTATTTATACTTAAATCAAACATGCGCGGGTGTTATATGGAAATCTTATCAATTTTATTTAAAAAGTCAAGCAACTGAACCACGAGAACAGAAGGAAATTAGAGTATATGAATTGCAACAAAGAAAAAATTACAAAGAGTCACACTGTGTTTTCACCCCTCTTTTTTAACTTTGGAGATACTGGTAATTGGGTTATGCTGCAATTACACTTTAAATGGTGTTTGTGAATCCCTTCTATGCTAATATGCAGATCGAGCAATCTCAGGTGGGAAATTAGTGATAGAAGTTTCCTACTTTGGATGGCACATTCACACTGAGATACATGACCTTTGTTCGGAGACTTCTTGCCCTGTAGACACTGGTGATTTTGTAGTCTCCCACTCACAAGTTTTGCCAGGATATACTCCACCAGTAAGTTGATTTTTTTACTTAATGTCTGCATTGACATAGGAAAAAATTATTCAGATAAGTTGGTAGGTAATCTACTTTTTACGATTTGAACTGAGTTTAGGATTAAATTTATGTTAAACAAATTTCAAATCTATATTTGACGACTCTAATAAACACTACCAGAACAACTTATGAAAGTTTGATCATAGTCACTTTTGATTGTTCCCATTAACTGCTCAGACATTTTTTTTTGTGTTTGGAGGAAGAATATTTTCAATTCAATTTTCATGCATTAAAACTAAGTTCTTTTCAGGCAATTAGAAAACCATGTTAATCAACTTGATGCATTTGAAATTTCGCCAGTAGCATCGTAAATTTTCGACTATATACTTTCACTACTATTGAATGTTTTAATGTCCATCTTTGGTGGTAAACATTTAGGTTTCATCAACAATCACATTCAACCTTGTGCTACTATTACAAGGGGAAAGATTAGTTTTATTTGGTATTATAATATATGTAATTGGGTTCGGTTTGGTCTGAATTGGTTTCTACAGGGCTCATACTCGCTTAAAATGAAGATGTATGATGCAAACAAGAGCGAGCTCACCTGCATTGCCTTTGGATTCAACATTGGATTTGTATCTTCCATAGCAGACATTTAATAGCTCCTATGATTATTCTTTCTAGCTTATTCAGCATCACTGCCATAAAGATAATACGAATGTGTTGTAAAATTGTGTTTATGGGCAGTTTACTGCAACAACTTTGTTGTGCTTTTAGTCGTCTAAAGCTCTGATGTTTGCAGTAAGTTGTGCTTAAAGTATGATGCACAATAAAGCTACAATTTGCTTTGATGTGCATGCAAAAGACATTTACCCAATGTTACAGTATATAGAAGACATTGGCTAGCATGTAAAAAGCATCAGAATACCATCATCTTCTTTTTTCCTTTTCTGTATACTTCATAATTTTAACTTCTGCAAATGTGACAAAGTACTTTGGCTATTTAAGCATATGTGTAGTAGTGTAAAACATTTATATCAAAAGTGGGGAAAACTTAAGATATTATATCATATCCCTATATTAAGATTCAAGAACTCAATGACTACTTGAGTGATTGTAGTTTAAGAAATGAGAAAAATATTTCCTCGACAGTACGATGGCATGAGATTAACTTTCTTATATAGCATTTTCATGGAAACCCAAA